AAAATTAAAATTAAAATTAAAATTAAAATTAAAATTAAAATTAAAATTAAAATTAAAACTAAAATTAAAACTAAATTAAAATTAAAATCAAAACCTAAACTAAAATTAAAATTTATATTAATATTAAAAATAAAATCAAAATTAAAACAAAAATTAAAATTAAAATAATAACAAAAATTAAAAGTAAAATTTAAATTTAAATTTGAATTAAAATCAAAATTAAAATTACAATATAAATTAAAACTAAAATAAAGAATAAAATTAAAATGTTATGATTTCTCGAGAATCGAAGATCAACATGCAAAAATCTTATAAAATAAAAGATGACGACTTCGAAGATGTGTATGGTTTTTTGCAAATATGTTCACCTACAAGTGAAAGACGCTTCAGTCGAAGGCCATAAAAACTATAGCTTAGAAAATTATGACTACTTTTTGCCTTTTATCCGATACTATAATATTTAAACTTAAGTTGTTATTGTAGACGCAAAACTAAACTCCAAAACGATATGTGTAATCGAACTAAATAAAAATTTGCGCAATATAGGGATGACCAGCACAAATTCCGATGACGCATACCAATATAACATACATATGTACATATATGTGAATGTATCACCGATATTTACTACCGTTATTATTAAACTCAGGGGAGTATGTACTTCACAACAACAAACTAAATAATCATTACAAGTTTAGTAAGTTCCACGAATACAAAGATATCGTTATTAATTGAAACTAATAAAGTTTTTCACAACAAAGCTATAGCGCTACATTACTACATATGGAAATTGAAATGTATAAATATATTTGTATTTGTGTATGTGCTTAATATATGTATGTATACGTCTATGTATTAGTGTTGTCAAAAAAATAGCCACAACAAAGCAATTATCTTACCCCGAAATCTTTTATATGGACGTCTGTGCGCCGTAAAAAGGAAAGTGCAGCTGAAAGAGCGGAAAAAAGTGATGAATGAGAATGCAATATATGTATGTATTAACGGTATATATGCTAATAAAATGTGTTAGTAGCATAAATATACACAATAAAAACTTCATTCATTTACATAGGCAAATGCACACATACATACATACATATGTACGAATGCATACATGTGTGTATAAAGTTGTGTGTAAGTATATGTAAATCAGAAATCACTTTACACGGAGCGGATGACAATTTCACTGAAATAAAGAACGAAAAAGTGAACCGAAGTACAAGCGGACCAACGTCCACGCTTCGCAATAATGACAGACAGCCGCGTTCACAACGTTCACTTAACTACTGGCGTTTAACGCTTGAAGAAAGAAACCAACACCGCACAGCTGTTCGTTCGGTTTAGGCGCCAAAGTGCGTGCTACGAAAATCGGGGCATGCAAAGTGGGCAAAAGAAAGGGCTAAAAGGTACAAGAATATTTACACAAATACCTACATATGTCTGTATAGGCATATTATATAGTATATAATCAAGCGCAAGTTACAGTTATTTTCAACTATTAAACGACCAATACTACCGAAACGTGAATGAATGTCCCAATTTCGACGAAATTTACAAAGCGAAGCGCGGCACTCATACACAAACACACATACATAACTACCAATATATGAACATATATATATAGAAGCATGCATGTGTAGGTGTATACACATACATACATGAATACACACATATACACTCATATATTTACACATATCAATCTATATATATATATATAGTTAACTCCTTAGACCCCACTTCCATCAGCGCTAGCAAGCACACACACACTCATACCTAAACATTCACGGCATTTGTGAGTTCAAAAACAACAGTTAAGTTAAGGTACACCAATCAACTGCCTGCTAGCGCCAGCAGAAGCAACAGCGAAAGCGTCGTGGTCGCCTAAGCGGCTATCCTGCGGCCACTTTGGTAGTCGATGGCTTGAAAAAGGACTGCATGTCCAGTCTAGTAGCAACCGTCCGGCTGACCACAGCACAGCACGCTTCGCAGCTATTAACGAGACGTCAGTGTGTTGCCGGTAACTACGTGAGCATACAAACGCTTCGCGCACGCAAACACAAAACCAACGCCGTACAATTGGAAAGTGGGGAAAATAACGGCACTACTTATACAAAAAAAAAAAAAAACGAGTGGAAATACAACAAGAAAAAACTGTAAAAAATAACGGTAAAAAGTGGAAATATCTAAAGTAACGGTGTAACAGGCGCGCGGCGCTGCCCTTATATGCACTTACAAAGCAAAGGCATGCTCATACGCCTATATGTATGCTAAATTATAATTTTTTTTTAACGCGTTGTGCTATTTGACCGGTTAACCGTTTTCATAGTACAGTGCATACGAAAGCGCCAACGGTAAAACAAAAATCGATGCGTTGCGACCATCGCGTTTATTAGTGACATTTTCGTCCGTGTTTACTGTTGCTTTTAAACGTATGCGTGTGTATGTGATTTCCGTCGCCGATTTATGACCGGAAAGTGCAGCGACAAAAGCAAAGACAGTGCAAAGGCATAACTGTAAAACAATGTTGTTAAAGCAAATAAGCATAAAAGTTGCATGAAATAAATAATATTATTGCACTATTTATTAACTAGGAGTGTGTTTTGCGATAAAAATCATAATTAACATTTGAAATTGAAATGGATATACCGAACACTGGCGCCATTTTTACGCTCGGCAAATCGTATTTGGCTGAGAACACGCAGAGTTATTTCTACATCAAAAATGATTCGGTGAAACGTCTGATATCTGGACCGCATCAAAGTGCGGTCATTTGTGGTAATTTGTAAAATATTTTCAAACAAAAAAACAATCACGAAATGCACAGACACATACGCGGACAGTTCGATAAGCAGTCGGCCTTAAAAACAAAACAAAAACAAGAACAAACGTTAACTTTGTTTGCAACGAAGCTATAATACCCTTCACAAATAAAAATGTTTCCCTACAAAAACTTGATTTTGATCGGTCAATGTGTATCGCAGTTATACGCTATAGTGGTTCGGTATCGCCAAATTCGACAAATGAGAAGCTTCGTGGGGAGGAAAGTGCGTATGCGAAATTTCAGATTGATATCTCACAAACTGAGGCGCTAGTTCACATATATACAGACAGACAGACGGACATGACTAAATCGTCACGCTGATCATTTATATACATATGTACCATATATGATTTATAGGGTTTCCGAAATTTTTTTCTGAATGATACAAACATAGTGACATGTTTAGGTTATAAAAACAAAAATATCGGAGAAATTACGACTTATTTCCTAGCATAGTTCTCTTTTAGCACGATATACTAGATCAAACTTCTTTTGTCCGTTTTTTTTTAGGGTGTCTGCAAAATATGCATGTCGGCTACAACCTCCTTATTCGAGTCAAACCTCAACCCAACGAATGACTTTTTTAAGTTTGGACACAAAACGGAGTGGCGTTCTTGCAATCGGTCCGATAATTCAACACAGCAGAGCTTTGTGACCGTTTTGCACTTCTCCAGTTAGTCTACTAGATCACACCTTGTAGATTCCAGAAAACGGTGGCCGATTCCGTTCTGCTTGATAAGACAGTATTCACCTTCTGCGTAGCATTTTCTTCGGTTTTTCGACTGTTTCTCGGTCTCTGATATCTAGTAGTGAATCCATGTATCGAAATTCGGTTCGGCTGAAATTTTTACGATAAACGTCTACGACTACACAATAGTAAAATTCTCTTGCGTTAGTGACGCCATCGGCCGGTTAGGCGAAGTTTTTATCGCACCACCGATTTGTAAATTATATCTAATATATGCGTTTAAATGCAGACATAAATAATGTATTTTATTCGATGGCACGCAAAACCAATTTTTAGTTCAGTTGGTCACTTAATATTTGACAATAACATCTGAAAGCACGACAAAGTGGGAATATTTGCCGGTGGCAAGTGGCATTTGATTTCCAATTGGATAACGAAGCAACAGAAAATGATCAACAAATTGCGTGTTTCGAATAAGCGGCCATTATAATGATTACATACACACATAAACATAAAACTAACACATACAACTGAATTTCAATTATTAATAACTTAAATATGGCAACTATTTATCCACCCGAGATAGATATATTTATAGAAAGTTGTCCCCAATAGTGGTTGCCCGGAACCAATTTTAGACCACGGAAAACATTCGTGACATTAGAAAAGGTTATCGTCAAAAAAAATTCGCTAAACAATTCGGAAGAATGCGGACGATTTGACAGCTCATGCTCGAATATACTATGTAAATGCGGATTCGTTTCAGCTTCGTAGCCCCGAAAACTCGGCAAGCAAACCTTAAAAATTTCGCAAATTCCTTAGCATGGAAATTTAATACCATGGAGATTCAAAAAAAGTTTCAGATATTTAAGCAAGCAGCTCTTTTGTGACGCAAACAAGTGTTTCCGGAGATTAGGTAGAAATTAGGTTAGTTTAGTGCGACTCTGCCTACGAAGCATTTTATTTTCGAAACTTCAGCCACTATGTGTTGAATCGATCCGTAAGGATGCTAGCAGACATAAGTTGCTATCGTAACACAGCGAATTTTTAAATTTAAATTTCCTAAATTTTTTAACAATTCGTAACAGAGATTTATGGGTGCGACGAAAGGCAAATTTTCTACGTTTTCACGATCTTACTGACAGCTTTATGTTTTTTCGTACTTTCCTTTATTTTTACTTCTATGCTCGACAAAGTGATTTGACTCTACAAAATGTTTGCATACTTTTCTAACGATTTCACTACTGTCCAGTTAAATTAAAAAATGTCAAGTAAACGAAAAAAAATATATATATCGAGTTCTTGTATGGAAAACTTGTTTATTTAACAATATATACGAGGTTACACGAATTTTAGAAATATATTATTTTCCAAGGCAATAGTAACGGTCATACAAACTAACCGAATAAAATCAAGACAAAGATCTTCATAAAAGATCATTTTTCTTTATTAAGTAACCCTATGACGACCTGAGGTTTGTTTATATCAAGCAACGTGTTTCCAGATTTAGTTATCAGTTGCTATAACAAACGCTATGAAGAGGTATTATTATTCAGCTGTGAAAGGTATTATAGTTTCGGCCCAGCTGAAATTAACGATTTCTATAGTTTGTTAAACAAAATATTTTAAAACCAGCTAGCATCGGGGGTCACATTTTTTTGTCAATAGGGTGACAATATTTTCAAATTCAATCAAAAAAAATTATAAAATATACCTAATATAAACTAATTTTTAATAAAAGATATATAAACTAATTTTAAATTAAAAAATAATGTAAGGTAATTTTTAGTTAAAAAAAATAAACTAATTTTTAATAAAAAAAAAATAAACTAATTTTTAATAAAAAAAAAACAAATTTAATTTAATTTTTAATAAAAAAAAACTAACGTTTAAAATAAAACAATATACAGTAATTTTTAATAAAAAAAATTTTAAACTAACGTTTCAAAAAAGTTTTTTAACTAATTTAAAAAAAAAAATTAAAAAGGTAATTTTTAATAAAAAAAATATAAAAACTAACGTTTTAAAAAAAAATATATGTAAACTAACGTTTAAAAAAATATATAATAACTAGTTTTTAATAAAAAAAAATATATAAACTGATTTTCAATAAACAAAAAAATATAAACTAATTTTTAACAAAAAAATTATGAACTAATTTTTATAAACTCATTTTTAATAAAAAAAGATATAAGGTAATTTTTATTAAAACCAAATGTAAACTAATTTTTAATAAAAAAAATATAAACTCATTTGTAATAAAAAAATATATAAACCAATTTTTAATAAAAAAAAATATAAACTCATTTTTAATTTAAAAAAAATATATATACCAATTTTTAATAAAAAACATGTCAAATGAGATGATAACACGCCAGTGCCAGTACCACCAACGCTTTCCGCAAGGCTAATGTGTTTTTCCTGTCATTAGAAATGAAGTATCAAGATAATCGCCGTTTTAAATTGCTAATTTTTTTGTGCCTGGAATTGTTTAAATTTGAAATGAAATAAAGATTAATTAGCTTGAGCGAATGATGCGAATCATTCATGAATAAGTGGAGTAGTCATTACACTGGGACACAAACCAAAAATGAATTATTGACCAGAAAAAACTGTTATTGACCAGAAAAACAGTTTCTTTGAACAAGGAAGAACTTTAAGGGGCACGCCTAGTTTGAAATTAAAAAAATCGGGTTTTTTATGTCTCGTTAGGTTATACCATTAAAAAAACATACTAAAATTTACAACGATGACTCAAATAGTTTTTGAGTTACAGGTTTCTAAAATGTAGCTGCTCAGTTCAATCAGCTCTATCCGTGTATCTTTAAACGCTTTTTTTTTAACTATATTTTTCAAATTTATGGCAGTGATTCGGCGACTAATTATCCGATCACTATTAAATTTTTTCTGTATGTTTATGTAACCTATCAGTTTTTCATCTGTTCAAACTAAATTTTTGGCAGTGCAAAAACGACCAAAATTTTGATTCTCAAAAACCGTGGATTTTAGGCTATCACACTAAGTATGTTCCGTTATGGAAAACGATTCACAGTTAACGGTTTTTTGAAAATTTTCTAAATTCTTATTCGAAAGGGTTCTTAATCTTTGGTTCGACTTTACACCATAAATATCGGTCAATAATTAAGATTCGTTCAGTACTGTATGATTTGGTGACGAAAATCTATTATATCGGCACATTTCGCCCCTCTCCTTAAATTTAAACCTAAGATATCGGTCTGTAAGAGAGTTATCTCAGTAAAATTTTTAAAAAATAATTATCTAATTTACAATAAACTTTTGTTAGCACTGGGAAATATTTCGAAAGTATTTTTAGAAATTTTAAAACTGTATAACAGTCGGTTACAACCGAATGTAGGCATTTTCTTATTACTTTGTTTTTTGTACAATATTTTTTTCTTGTTGTTTGTTTCAATTTAACATTCTTTGAACTCATTCTAACTTTTAGTATAGTTAGCCGAGAAATTAGGCAATTGAAAAACAGTTCAAGTGTTCAGGCGTAAGTTTAATATGCCAGGGCGGACTTGAACGGAAAACGAAAGTAAAAGTAAATAGTTAAGTAATTTTATAAATTGCATTTAACATGCAATTTACTTGTCAACATGACTGCGAAATTTCTTGTTTGTTACCAGAAGAAGCAAAAGTAGCACAACTTTAAGAACTAGTGCAAAGATTGCGAGGCAAGAAATTTTGGGGTATGATTTTCGATATGACTTTGTGAAAGTGTTGGTGATGTGCTTTAAAGTGCAGTTAAATGTGTAAACTGCTGAAAAACTAAACTAAGCTAAAACTAAATAAAATCTAAAATTAGTTTTATTAAGGCAGCTGAGAAATAAGAGCGAAGACTTCGCTTCGCTTTAAGAGCTCACTTTTATAAAAAACGAAAGTACATACATAGATATCGGAGCATAAGAATCTACATGTTTGATTGACTCTAATTAATTACTAATGACCAACATAACAACATAACTGATGGCTAAAGTCATCACAACGAGTTAAACGGGTGATCCAAATAGAGGTACTTTTTTTAATAGCCTTTTTTTGACAGTTCACACGTGAGACGTGTCAAGCTGTCATGTTATTTTTGTTCAGTATTGTTTGGCATTTCGTCATAGCAATACTTACGCCTGAACAACTTTTACAAATCGTTCGAATTTACATATTATGAAAATTCACGTTCTGTAAAGAATGTGTCTCGCCCGCTTCGCTGGATTGGACTCAAGGGATGGACCATCTGAGACGTAGCCGCGGCCAACATTTGAAAGAGATAAACTTTAAAAAATTAATGGCAAAAAAAAATGTTCTTTCGAATGATAATAAACATTCCCCATTAAATTTAAATTTTCTGTGTGTGTGTTTTTTTTTTAAGTAGGGAACCTCGAAATGGATAACCTTTTACTCTCTAAGAAACATCATTCTTACACGCTGCCATCACTACTGTTAGGTACTGAGTGCTTAAATAAATATGTAAGAACGTGCATATACCATACATACATATGACTTGGTAAAAATAAAAAATACTTGTATTCTTCACCTTATCTTGATTAATTCAATTTCACCCTAAATGTAGGCAATGCTTTTTATAACTGGTCACAAACAAACACACTGGACAGTTTGAAGTATTCAATTCTAATTATATTTCTGAGTGCGTTAAAGCCATGACAGACATTCATTTGACTAGGGGCTGTGTCGTGGTAGAATTGAATGAAGTATGATTAATTTCTTTTTGTTATTGTCACGAAATTCGTTCCATTAACATTAGGCAAGTAAAAGGCAGTATTGATTATTGGCTGGTTTACAAAACAAATTTTCGATTGAAACTATATTAAACCTTTAATTAATCTTTTCTATATAATTTAAAGGGTTAGGCTCCTTTAGAGCTGCGAAAAACCCCTAACTTTGACAATTTATTCTGGGAATAAGAAAAAATTATTTGAATATTTCTGCTTTTCAGAATCCCATTTTCCAACAGGATTTCGACGTACGACGATGATTCTAGGCTTTCTCATGCTTTCTAAAAACACGCTGTCTCATTTCTTATCTAGAATTTCTAGGAAAGTATGAAAATTTTTAGCTTTACAGCACTTTTTTGCAAAATGAAGTACTTGTAAAAAATAACATTTTTTACCGAAAACATTAGCAATAAATAGTTTATATTTCCAATTATAACAACAAAAAAATTTTACTAGGTAAAGTCACTGTGATGCTATATAGAGTACAAGTTTTATCGTTTTACGTGCTGAAAGGGACTGATTCGACACTACAGCAGATTGGAGAGCAGAATTTCTGGCTCTAAGCATTTCAAATTTAACTCATTTAATTCATTTAACCTAAAAAATAGCATTTTTGAAAATACTAAGCTGGCCTAACTCCTTAATAAACATATCTGTTTTGAGATATTTTAAGCATTTACTTCCCACCCGAGAAACAATGAAGATATATTTTAAGGGAATAAAAAAAAACAAGAAAAAACGTGATTTTCGGTTATTCGCGTAGATACACAAGCTCAGGACTAAATCGACTCAACAAATCTGCGTTGTAAATTTAATACACACTGTTTAGGGTATAAAAATAAATAAAACATTTAGGGTTAACAGTCGGTCAAGATGTTCTACTAAAGTTTTTAAACTGCACTTAATTATCTTCTTCTCAGATGTTAATAAATGGTTGAAGAAAATAATTATTATTTGATTGAAAGTAAAACCATTAACCGAAGCCCGCATGTTCCATAAGATTTTATATGACAAGTTTGTTAAAGAAAAGACATAACGGCACTCTACTTTGTATTAATTGCTAATTACAAAAACTTTTAAGCTTCACAACAACAAAGTACTTGAAAACGTCAATATGTCATATCTCAACATTTAACAATATCCGCTAGTAGATACTAGATATGTATGATATATTATATATATATTGAAAACACATAGCCACACTAACAACCGTAACTTTAAGTGCATAGAAAAAGTTCGAGACTAATGCAATTAATGTCTCACATTACAGAAAGTGGGCGATTATTTGTTTGGGGTGAAAATCACTACGGTCAGTTGGGTATTGGCAGTACATCAAGCCAAACCAGCAACAGCAACCACAACAACAATAATAATAAAAACCACAATAGCACTAGTCATGGCGATATAATAACGAAGCCAACATGTGTGAAATCACTGAAAACACTGGGTTTGAAAATAGCCGATGTCGCTTTCGGTAACGATTGGTCCATAATACTCACACGTAAGTAGCATAACTACTATATATGCATTTGCGTATTTAACTAACGTTATTTATTAAACGTTAGATTCAAATGAACTCTTCTACACGGGCCGCAATATTTTTCCAAGCGATGCGAATGTGGCGCGCAATTTCAGTGCGGCCACCGTGGCGGATGAGCAATGTCAAATTATACGCAAGCCATTTCGAATTGAAGTTCTGGACGATTGTCTAACAAAGAATGAGGATGCAGAGTGCTACACGCATGTCTTAGCGGGTGATGAACACTTTGTGCTGATGACCAGTGAGTTGTTTGTTGAAGAGAGTCATAATTTTTGAAAATTTTATTTTTATTAATTTCAAATTTCTTTGAAAATTTATTTTAAAAAAAATTTGTTTTTTTAAGTGTGTCACCATTTTTACCTGCTCTTAAGCAATATTTCACAATTTATATACACTTTTGGCACACAGGTTTTGGCCGCCTTATTGGCTGGGGTTCGAATCAAAATTACCAGCTTGGTATGCCCGCAGGTCACACAGCTGAGAAGCCGTATGAAATAGATCTCGGCGCACCTGTGCAGCAATTTGTTTGCGGACCCGAATCGACGCTGGTGCTCACCACTACTGGCAAGCTTTATTTTACCGGTCATCTAAATGACTTTGTATTCTCACAATTTACCGAACTGCAACAAAATCTCGGACCAACGGAACAAATTATATTCATGCACATTTCGAAAACGAATGATATATTTATTGTGACCAATGCCGGGAGCATTTATCGCAGTATCGAGTCGGTGCGTACGAAAAGTCTAATATTTCAACGTTTCTACGACTATGATAGCGAAGAGAATGGACCAATTTGGAAACTGCTGAAGGGTTTTTCCTTTTATGCCGTGTTAACGAAAGCAAATAAATTCTATACGACATTCTCTGAGAGCGGTCATCATTTGAAGACGTTTCGTGAGATTTCGAAATTCAAAAATTTACGCTTGCTCGATGTTGCGGTGGGTAATAAGCATATACTGGTGCATGGCATACCGCGTACATCGACGCTCTCAGCAAGCGTGGGCGGCAGCGCTGAACCGCATCGTTTTGCGAGTCGAACCTTTGTAATGCCGCCGACTTTGGTGAATGGAACGGGTGCTAAAAGCTGGAGTCGGGTGGACAGTGCAACAAAAGTTGACAGTAAAGATAGCGGCAATGTTGGGCCAGATGTCATGAAGTTGGCGGATGTAAAGAGTAATGTGATGGCAAACGGGGCAATTAATGAGCCGACTGAAGTAGTTGAGAAAAATACAGAAATCAAAACAGTTGCTGACGAAAATAATGGAAACGCAAGTGAAACGCAGTCGGAAGCCACTAAAGCGACAAACGGTGGTAGTACAATAAGAACAGGTGAACAAAAAACACAAGAAAAGGAACAGAGATACGCTGAGGAAAATGTTGAGGTGAAAGATGTTACGGAAAACAATGGCAACGTTGCAAAACCAACGGAAACTAACGGCAATCTAGAGATGAGCGATAGTGAACCGGCTAAGGAAATTAAACATGTAATAGCTGCCACAGCTGCTTTGGTGCATAATGAGGCAAAATCACCGACGAACTCGATCAAATCTATCAGATCTATAAAATCGGCACATTCCGTTAAATTTTCGCCAACAGCGTTAAGCAAAAAGGCTTCTCCAGCCAACGATAAGCTGTTACGGCCACACACGCCTTACCCGGACAGCAGCACAACTGGGAGTACACCAACAACTATCAAAAAGACAACACCGCTACGCAATTTCTCTTATGAAGCGGCAATGGATCATGACCACATCGATAGCACATCGCCTGTGCTGATGGATAGTTTGGAAAATATATCCGAAAGTACCGAAAGCGAAAGGGAGCATAAGAATGGTAAGTTTCTCGTATTAAAATTAAAGTGATTTAAATCTAAAACAAAGAAAAAAAATTAATTTCGATTGCACCGACGCTACAACACCCTTCACAAATAAAAAAGTTTTCCATACAAGGATTTCATTTATATTGTTATAGTCATCCGATCTAAACACTTTTAGCATGGATTTGGACAATAGCCCATGCCAAATTTCGTGAAGATATCTAGTCAAATAAAAAAGTTTCCCACACAAGGATTTGATTTTGATGGTTCAGGGTATAATTATATACCCACTTAATTTTCTGTTTTTGTTTGTGTATTTTAAGCACTGGCTACAACAGCAACACTGCCGTTTGAGGAGGACGAGCAATTGACAGTGGAGATCAACACAACAACCGATCCGCTAAATAGTACAATCGTTGTAAATGAAATACGTTTCATAAATAATGGCGTAGATGTGACTGACAATGTTAAGGCAGCATCACTTGAACGAGAGGATACCGAGAGCACACTCGACTCGTTAGAAGAGCAAGCGGAGGGCATTGCCAGTAAATCTAATGAAACTCTAAATAATTTGAGTCAAGGTCATAACTCAGATGTGGAAGATGCAGGTGGTGTCGGAGAGGAAATTAAAAACACAATGCAAAAAATTGAAGGTAAAGCCAAAGAGATAACAAATAAAATTGACACTAAAGCAGATGAAGTTGATGTAACAGTAAAAAATATAGTCAAGACAAATATGGCGAAGGTTAATGACGCGGCAAATGAGATGAAAGTTGACTTGTCGCAGCAAGCAGCACAAATAGATGAAGATATTAAAACTGCAGAAACTGAGCTGAAAACCAACGCAGAAAAGGTAAGCGAAAACATAACTGATAAAATGGAAAATGCAGCCAAAAAAGCCGCAACGGCAGCCACCGACGTGCGTGATACGGTAGAAACTGCAGCCAAACGTGCTGCGGCAGGTGCTCGTGATGCCGTCGAAACGGTGGGTGACAACGCCAAGCGTGTGGCAAATGACACCAAAACAACAGTTGAAAGTATAGGCAGCAGTGCAAAACGGGCTGCAACGGGTGCTAAAAATGCTGTCGGTAATGTATTTATCAAAATGTCAGATGGCACTAAGGATGCGGTTGACTCTGTGGCTGCTAAAATTGCTAGCGAAGTGTCTGGTGCTAAGGAAAATATTAACACAATGTTTCAAAGTAAGACATTAAAGCCCACACCCGTGGAGGAAGATGCAGTGTCATCAGCGTCAGAGGCTGCATCCAAGGGTGGACTAAAAACTAATACAACCACCAATGGTGAGGACGATGAGCGCACAACAGCATCGGTAAATTCCACGCAAAACTCAACTGGCAATCCCTTTGAAAGCAATAATCCATTTGAAAATGACGAATTTGACGATGTGGTTGAGCGTGGTAAGAAAGCAATGCAGGAAGAGGTCAATAACGTGCATCGACAAGTAGCTGAAGAGGTAAAAGATGCGGAGAAGGAAACAAGTAAAGTGCGCAAATTTTTCAGTGAAATGCGAGGCATATCTTGCCGCAATGAAAAATCGGTAGCAGTTGATGGTTAGTAAGTTAACAACAATTATAAGTAAACGTCATGCTATTTCATGAAACATTTTGCTTGTACTTATTTCAGATGATCCGCCACGTTATTCCGTAGAGGATCAGTTTCCTACACCAGCACATCGTAACCGGGAGCAAAATAACACATCGAAAGTATGCTCAATATTATAAATATTTTCGGCTAATCTTACACACACTAAGATATGATTGCATTTCGAATTTGTTTACCTATAATTAAACTATAACTGAAAATACTGATATAAAATGTTTAAATATATGGAAATTTACCTACTTGGTTGTTTTATATCATCAAATTACAAATATTATCTAAATCAACACAAATTGCCTTAAACGTTTCTAACAAAAATTTAGCCAATCAGCTGTTAACTGAAAATATGATGAAGTTAGCCGCAGTTGAAAACCAGATATGCATATCTGGCATATCATATCAGTTATAGTGGAATAAGGTTTATATATATATATATATAATTTTTTTTGTCTTAAATGCATAATATTTCAAAAAAGTTTAATCTAAATTTCATGTCGGTTCTAGCAATATTGGCGAAGTTACGTTACACGTTTATAAACGTTTTACATCAGATTTCCAAACTTTAAAGCGTTTTTCTCAGAAATCACGACTTCAAAGTCGTTGCCTCTCATAAATTCAAAACTGCGGCGCCGTTCGTTTCGAAATTCGGAACACTATACATAATTTACATAGTAGCGCTGTAGATGTTTTTTAATAATACATTTTTTTTTTTTAACAAAAAAAATTGAATTGATTTTTTCACAAAAAAAATCAGGTTTTCCCTTCAAAATTTTCCCAAAAAATTACAAATTGAAGTTTCAAAAAATCCCCCATGTTACCTGAACAGAGTGATTATCTCACGATATAAATTTGATTTTTTATTTGAATTGATTCAGTATCGAGGTATGAAGGGCGCCACATTTCAACTGTTTCTCGGAGCCGCTCCAGTGTAGTTGGTGCAATTGGCTATTTTTTAATATATCTCTACGAAACTTTGACAGAATATTCTTTGAAGGTCATACTATAATGTATCATTGGTTTTTAAAATAGATTTAATTGTTACATCACAAAGTAAAATAATAAAAATGCCCTTGTTTTACTCGAGTTAACCCTACTCCCTTAATATATAGTCATTTATTTACAAATTTGTAATAGGATTTTAAAGTTTAATACGCCATAATTAAAAGCGATCTCAAATCAGTTGATTTTTTAGCACATTTAACCAATTCTTTGCACCTGACGGAATATAATACAAATGAGTGTCAACATATGCAACTCTGTATATGGTCTTTTTGTCTATCGATATCTACGTTAAGTTCATTTAGTTTAAGCTGGCAACACTTCGGTTAACAAACAAACGTCAAAAGAAAATTGTGTGTGTCTGGTGCCTGCTAACGAAGAAAAAAAACTTAACTCAATTTTGTAACTTCATATTTTTTGTACGGAAGCAGAAAAGTTTTCTATTTTTTGAAAATTTTCACATTCTTTATAAATGGAGTGCAACAAACCTAAACAGGCATAGGAAAGAATATTCATACAAGAACAAATACAAGTATGGGAAAGGCATGAGATTTGCAAGTTGAAAAACTGGAAAGATGAATTAAAAAGGGGGGAAATTGGAGTCTATTTTCACTGCATGTCCTCGTCGTCAGGTAGTGCAAGAAGGTAGGTCAACAAAAAGGAGTGTTTTGAATATTAAATATATTTAGTGCCAAAGGAGGTGGTGGTGGTGGTGCTACGGTGTAGTGAGTCTGCGGCAAACGATGCGAGCTGGTTGCGGTAAGCTTGATGAATTTTTATGAGCCGATCGCGTTTTACAGTTGATGAATGGGGAAGTGTGTGTTCCTAACCTCAAAAAAGTAGTGTTCGTTAGGTGTATTGACAGCAACGAATATCGTCGGTATTATGTGTGTGTGTGTGTGCGCGCTGCCTATTGTTACGCGAACGGGGTACGGTCGGTGTGCTGAGATATGTAGTGAGCGTGCACCGTGCGGCGAACGTCTAAAGTGGTGATGGTCGCATCGACGACGTCAACGGCCGAAGTGGAAAAACTACTTCACAAATCGGGTTTGTTGAATATATATTCCTTGTTTTCTTATACTTTTTCGATTTGCCAAAAACGTGATTGTGGGTAATATATTGGAACGTTGAGGAAAAAATGGTGCCCCCCTCGGGAAAGGGGTCGCGATATAATGTTTGAGTATTTCATATACTCTTTCCCTTCAGTCGTAATGTTATTCGATTATGTGCACATGGTAGCGGTCACAGTGCGCTGTCATTTGTGTTGGCAAAAACGTCTGCCACTGCAGCATGTCGCGCGTATTTGGCATTCCATTCAAATCATATGTAAATGCTACAGTCCATTCTAATTTCACTACGCTAAAATATCGACAGTTAATATGATCAAAACTTAACTTTAATCATTGTTGCTTACAACTAAAATTACTAAGCCACATGGTACAATGCGCAGCGCTGCTGACTTATCGTCGTCACCACTTAAGCGCCGTCATCACTGCCATAATCGTAACGCCTAACCTCGACGTACACCTTTGCTATATTGTAAATTCTTATGGAATTTTCGTAGAGAAACACAATGTTACTAATATATGCAAAATAGGTAAATAAAGAGGACAAATGAAAAATGAGCCAAATCAAGCTAATGAATATTAAACATAATATTTTAAACATCGCTGCCTTTCTGTCAATCGCTTTGTACGCTAATATCTTAACAACAACGTGGCGTGTTGCGAGGCATCACTATGTAGCTTTTCTTCTCTGCAACACCGCGGAATTTTATAGAAACATTTTTGCTGTTAATGACTTAACTATTTCCAAAGAATATTATAAATTTAAGTTTAAATTATTCTCGTGCAGTTACAAAATCGCGCGATTTTTAAAGATGTGAGACTTTATTTATTTATTTTTTTTCAATTAGTTTTTTTTTTTGTTAACTAGAATTTTTGTCCTGTTCAATTTTCACTAATTACAATATTTCCATTGCAGATTTTGTATCCATATCCTCTCTTGGCAAGAATTCTTTTGCTGAACCCACAGTTTCTATGCGTATTCTGTTTAGCAACTATATGATATAAGTGGGTTTATAACAGAAAAAATAAGCCAACGCACCTTATATCTCGCACCTTAATTACAACAAGATCAACCAGCCAAAAACAAATAGAAAAAAAATATTAATATATCCCAAAAATATATTTTAATCCGAATTGGTAATATCGGCAAGCATTAGCTTGGTAGCTAAAACTACCTGAACTGCTTCCGCGCTTGATTTCCGAAACTTGATTACAATGCACATAAAAAATTTGCAACATGCCCATGCGGCTTCAGCCGCTATGGGAAATTGTGAGATTGTCATTGTGTCATCGTCGCCGAATAATGCTGCAGCGAGTGCCAACAATAATAACAACAATACTAATAGCAACAATAATAATGAGAATAACACGGGAGCACACCATCAGCAGCAACAGCAATCCCAACAACAACAACAGCAACAGCAGCACCAGGCCACAACTACAACAGAAATACCGATTCCGTTCAATATGCACCTAGCCGCTGCCAACACCGAAGCGCACGTTGCTGCTCAAGCGGCTGCAATGGCGGCAGCACAAGCGGCTGCTGCACAGGCTGCCGCCGCTGAGCAACAGCAAGCATCGGGTGGCAGTAACGGTGCAAATGCCACAACAATTTTGCAGCAACATCCCCTAGCGCATCTGGTAGCGACAGCAGCTCATAGTCCAGCGTTGTCAGAGCATCACTTCGCTGCCGGTCGGGAAGTGGTTGCAAATGGACACAGTGCGGGCAGCAGTACGAACGGTGGCGGAGGCGGTGGTGGCAACAGCAGCGGCAGTAGCGGTGGTGGTGGTGGTCATGAAAAACCCTTTCTCTGCAGCGTTTGCGATCGGCGGTTTCGACAATTGAGCACACTTACCAACCACGTGAAAATACATACCGGCGAGAAACCCTACAAATGTAACGTTTGTGATAAAACCTTTCGTCAATCGTCCACGCTAACGAATCACCTAAAAATACACACCGGCGAAAAACCATTCAATTGCACATATTGTCCGAAGAATTTCCGACAATTAAGCACGCTAACAAATCATGTGAAAATCCATACCGGTATGTATTGTAATAAAACATAGATTTTATTTTACATAAAAAATTTATTTATCCATACGAGCTTTGCATTTATATGAGTTCATTCAAATTGCAGGTGAGAAACCATTCGAATGTGCCGTTTGTAAGAAACAATTCCGTCAATCTAGTACACTTAACAACCATATAAAGATACACGTTATGGACAAGGTGTACGTACCCGTTAAGATAAAGACCGAGGAGGAAGAAGGATGACTAGAGGACATGGTGATCGCAGGCGCACATCAGCGGCCCGCGAATCATCATCGCAATGTGATCACAACCACAATACAAGCACCAGTAACAACAGCAGCAGCAGTGGCGGCCGCTGCCTCTGCCGCCAATCATCATATACATCAACAACAACAGCAGCAGCAGCAGCAACAACAACAACAACAACAACAGCAGCAGCAGCAGCAACAGCACCAGCAACTACAACATAACCACACAAACAACAATCCGAACAATGGTAATACGATTATCGCCACCGCCGCTGCTCCGTCCAATGCAATCGAGCATTTCAACGTAACATCAATTGGCGAATTGTCCAACGTGCAATTGAGCAGTATCAATGCACAGCTAGTGGGCGGCAGTGTTACACCCGAAGGTAATCTGGTGACTATGGGTGGCGTGGTCATCGGTCGTATACACTCGGCGTCATTACAAAGCAACGGCCATACACTACAACCGCAATTGCGTACAACAGCACAGCCGGCCACCAGAGAGGAACTGCAACAGTTGGGCGTGATCAAGGTGGAGTCGCCAGCTGCTGAGTTTCAAAATGAGGGATGAGTCGAGTACGAATTGCTGCTTGAGTATATGCTCAAGGAGGATGAGGAGGATTATGCAGCCGCTTGTAATGATAATAAATTGAATGCCAGCAGCGCTAGTGATGCAGTTAAGGATTGTGGAGGCGGCCACCGAAAGAGCGATATTGTAGTGTTTAGTGATGCAGTTGGCAGTAGTGAAAGTGCTGGTAATTGAGATCGCTTACAAGTGCATGTGGCAATCGCTAAGCGTAATTAAAGCAAGCATATTGAATTTGCGGTCATAGTTGTTGTTGCTATTGTTGCTAGTTATTTAAATGGAGATGTCAAAAGGGACGGAGAAAAGCATAATATCTATCACCAATCATCTTTAGTTTATTACAAAAACTGCTGTTGTTGTCAACCTATAATCATCGCCATCAAATTTCAAAATGTAATAAAGTGACATTCTCTTAAACCCTAAAAGTAAAAACAAAAAAAAAAAACAAAACAGAAAACATTAAATCTGTAACAAAAACATGACACTTGCTCATGCACACATACATACATACAGTGTTGCAATTGGTATGGGATTGTGTATGCTCTTCGAAACTAAAAAAAAAACGCAAATTCAGATTCACACAATTAATGCAAATAATAATATTGAACACAACCGTTTGAAATAAATAAGGAAAATTATGAAAATCAAAGAAAAAACAAACCTCTATAGCCGTTAAGACAGAAAGTAGTAGCAACAAACATGATAAGAATATCTAAAAAAACAAAGAGAAATAACAAAAGAGAGTAAAACTAAACTTAATTTAAATAATTATAGGGGAATTATACTATTTTATGGGGGTTAGTAAAAAAAATACAACAAAAACAAAAAAAATTAAAGCACAAACTGCTGCAAATATATTTTACCGTATACATTTTGAGTAGTATTTGTTATGAAATTGGTTATAAATTCTGTTAGTTGTGTAACGGCACCAAGCGCGAATTATGGCTTTTCATTACTTAAATCATGTTTTAGTGCGAAAGCCACGTGTCTGGCGTGTGTGTATGCGTGTCTGTATGCTACTTAGATTAGCAGCGTTTAATTTCCTAATTAACTAAGCACTTATTGCGTTCCACACACTCCTACATACAAACATGCATACAACTAATTAAATGTTTAATTCTAATATAAATAATTAATGAAAAAATCGCATTAAGTGGAAATTATGACAATAAGCTCATAAAGTAATTACACGCATATTTGTTGTATTTGTTGGGCAGCACCGGCTTACACAAAGCACCGTACAGAATTTATAGCGAAAATCATAGCTTATATGGTATAGTGGCTAACTCGAAACGAAAACATATATGGTGGAGTAATAAATGTAATTTAAATTCATTATAATGACCTATTTTGTATTTTAGTTTAATATTAGGAATTCACAGCAAATGAGACTTGTTTGTACTTGAAGCTTAACACAACTATTTTTTAGGTTATAACACTTAAAAACGAAGTCGAAGTCGAAGTGGGGGCGCAGCAGCATACAGTGCTGTTAAGTATGAAATCGCTTTATGTTTCTTATTATTTTTTACTTTTATTTTATTTATCGATATGCATACATATTTTTTTTTTTTGGCTGAAAACAAACAACGTTTTTGCTGAACACTTGTTTGAATTGTATGAAACAAAACCTTAAAATAAGGTACAATTTTAATTTATTGCTAAGTTTAGACTGTAAAGTTGATTGAATTTTTTTTTATAGTTATAAATTTAACATGTTTTCCACTACTTTTGTTGGTTAATTGAAATTATTATAAATTATTTCATATATACATTTTAATGGCGTTTAGAGGCGCAGTGGAAAAGTAAATACTATTATATATTATCGATGTTTTATTTGAAAATAAGCGAAATGTAAATGAAACTAAAAAAAAAATAGAAAAAGAGAAATACAAATTTCTATATATTTTATATAAAATTTAATTTTCCAAACAGAAAAAAAATTTGCCATTAGGGATTACAATGCTAAAGTCAAGTAAAGGTGAAGCGTGGCGGGTAGGCAAGCAGGCGCTTAATGCCGTTGTTAATATTTATGTGGCGAATAAAGTTGTTTTATGAAAATGATTGCGAACTTCGAAGAAATTGTTTATATATTGATTAAAAGTAGTCATTACTTATATGCATAACTGTTTTTTTTCTGTGCCGAAAAAGTTGCACAACAACAAAAAAAAAAGAAAAATACGTTTACGCAGCTCACAATACTGCTTATATTTGGTCTTTTGGAGAAAATGCTTTAATTTTCGTTAGCAAAAAAAGTTGTTGGATTTTCAGAAGCATTAAAAAAAAAGAATTTATAATTACAAAAATCACTTTCATTCAAAATGAGTGCGCAAAAATTGCTTATATTTTACAACAACAACACCTTTCGAACTGTAAATTATATGCACACATAGATTTTTTTTTGTTTTTGTTTTATAGAGCTGGTTTAATGTATGACACATAGTGTTATGAACTTTTAAAAAGTTGCCGCGCATGTGTCACAGCTGAACGTTAAGCATTGTAGATATGTATATGAGAGTAAATGTTGCGTCAGCGCACTACAAACAAGCGCTTAGCAATTGCAACAAGTCATTTATAGCGAGTGAGTGTGCATTGCCTGAAAAACAAGAGAAAAAATCAGTAAAACGGAATTCGAAGCAGCTTACATAGTTAGTATTAGTTTGAAAACTAAAGCGTATCATATTAATATATGCTGCAAGTATGTGTGTATATGTAAATTGAAAATATTTTTATGAATTTCCATGTATTACATGCATATACTAGTATAAATGAAAGTCTGTAAAAAAAAGCAACACACACACACACACGAAAACCAATAACTAATCAATTAAGAAAGAAAGTGAAACACAAAAACAAAAAATATAAAAAAAACAACAAAAAACAGCAAAATAGAAAAGCAACTATAACGGTACTTGTAAGTTTTGTTGCAGTGTGTGTTGTAAGTTGCGCGTGAACAGAGCAGCAACTTCTATGGCATTGCCGCACGCATACTGAACTGTTATAACACACACATAGAAGAGGAAAGACTCGTAATTTCGTTTAGGCGTACTCGAAACTTACGTTTAGTTGTCAGCTCTTTTGACTTTGTGATCGTCAAAGGAATTGGCCAAACTGAAACTGATAATAATACCTAATAATAATAACTTATTATAACAAATATTATTTAATGTTGGGTGTAGCGTTGAACTAACTAGCACTGTGTTGCCCAAAATGTTTTCCTTTAATTTTATATAAATAAAAGATAAATAAAAAAATACAATAAATCATAAAATAAACAAATATAAGAGTTACTTTAGACAATTGCTTGTAAACATAATTACACATACGTTTTAAGTGCGAAGACATGTATTTATGTATGTATATGTTAATATATAATTTTTGATTGTAAACAAAAGCTACTTTTGAGACTTCATATATAAAAAGCTTTTATGCGCAGATTGCACACTTCCGCTGGGTTTTCATTTATACTGTATAACTAAGTTTTAGCGTCAAGATTGGCGTACAAATATTAGACATTTTGATTTTACTATGGTTTTTTGTTACTGGAAAAATTTTGTTCTATTCGATAATTAAGTTCAATATTCAGGATACATTTTAAAAAAAAAAAGTTTAATTTTTACTTATGTTTTGTATTCTGGTTGAATACTATTTTATTTGGCAATTAAGTTCTTGCGCGAAAATTGTAGTGAAAATAGTAAATATTTTGTTTGTACTGATATTTTTATTAATATCGGAAAACTAAAAGTGGATCGCGAGGCTGCATGACTTCGTTGCTGAAATTTTGCGCATAATTTGAGGCACGAAAGCATTGTTGCGTAGTTTTTCGTACAATTGGCATTTATTTGAATCACATATATGGTTGTTTCTCTTTATCAAATCTAGCTGCGGTTAGGGATCGTTACAAAATTTGAAATTATCGAATTTTTTCTTAAAACTAATTAAATAATTAAAATCTACGAGTGTATTTTAGAAATGAAAAATAAAAATGTCCACTAAAAATTTGTCAACGATTCAGTATGTACGAGAGAAATAAATTTCTTATATTCAAATATAGTTAGGTGTTAAAGTCTTACAACTTCGCCTTAACTATTTTCAGAAAAAATAGTATTTTTGATACTTTCGTAAACAGTTTAAGAGTTCAACAAAAATTAGGCAGTGTGTGGATTTGTTTAAGTAATGGAAAAATATAATACATTTTTTGTTATACATATTTAAGTCAAAAAAAAAATTTTTTTTTTAAAGTAATCTAAATTGTTTTTCACCCATTTTTTAACTTTCTTGTTGAAAATGCATGAAAAACTGCGTCTTTTGCATGCTTCACGGCAGAGGCAATATTTTTTTCGAAATACCTTTGCATACTTTTAGGTAAGTTATGAAAAACTACACTTTTTTATTTTATGAAGAAGAAACACTACTTAATACAGTTAAGGAGTATGAAGATAGAATTAATTCTTTCTACAAAAAAGCATTTAGTCGTCTGTATACAAAATGCTTTTTTGTATACTTCTCGTTGCGAAACCCTAGAGCCCATTTTTATTACAAGTTTATTTTTATATTTGATATTATTGAACGTTATTAAAAATTGTATATTACTTAAATAAAAATTAAATTTGATTTTGCAAGATAATAATTTTTTTTATAAATATCTTTTATAAAATAATAATATTTTATAAAATAATAACCTTGTATAAAAATAACTAATATTTTTAATTAAAATATTTTCTATAAAAAATGATTACACTCGCTCAATTAAGGGGCTACATGGGTTTCGTCGAGCAAAAAACGCCCTTTTTTTAATAAAATTTTTTTTTATATAAAATTTTAAATATTTCATTCAAACATTAAATTTTTTCGAAGATACATATTTGATAAAGATTTTGTGAAATTTTCAAAGGAAAATATTCAAAACTCGGTCATTACGACATCATTTTTACAAAAACATGCAACTTTTGGTGACAATTTCTCGACGCTTTTTTTAAAATAGTTGTAATAGAAAAAAAATCCTCTGCGTCAAGACCTTGTAAATTATATCTCAAAGACCGTGAAACTCATGTAACCCCTTAAAAGATTTGGAAATACAGAAAATTTTTTAATTAAATTTGATTTTCCAAGCATATAATTTTCTTTCAATAATAATCTAATATTTTTATATAAAAATATCAATGAAAAAATGCTTAAACTTGTTCAATTAAAAAATAAGCCAAAAAATTTTATTACGAAATGCTGAAATTTTTAAAATTATTTTGTAATAAAAAACAATAATAATATTTCTAAACTTGTTAAATTCAAGGAAAATGCAAATACTTTTATTTGCAAATATTTTTAATTAAAATTCTATGAGCCGTTATTTGCCTATTTCTATGGCTTAAATTATTTTGAAAATTTAGTTAAAAATTTTTGCTTAAAATAATATATTTTTTTAACTTTTGTTAATTGCCCTTAATAATTATTTAGTAAATTCTATTGGTATATATTATCTGCGAAAATTACAAAACAATACAGTGCTTATAAATGAATAATATGTTTGGTAAAAGTGTGTTGTTGTTGATAGAACAAAAAGTTCCAAACAGTTGAGGAAGTGCAGTAATAGTGACAGTTCTTTGGCCATATCGAAGTTACGCAGAAAAGTATGCTTCGAAATTTGTTTATTTCAAGCATTTTTGAAATTTAAACAACTTGTGAATTGAAAATGCATTTTTTTATTTTCTTTTAAATTTATTATTTAATAAATATTTATTTTAACAAATATATTAAAAAAAAAGATTATTTATTTTATAAATAAATATATAAAATTTAAAAAAAATATTATTTATTTAATAAATTTTTTTTTTCAGCGTTTTGTATATACATACATATATATTTACTTCAAAAATATAATCAGTTACGGCTGTGGCAATACTTTTGCTAACTTTTTTTGCTGAAATTCATTCAACAATGAAAATATTATTTAACTTTGATTAATGATTTATATAAAATCACGAAGTTTCCTTTTAAAAAGCAAAAAACAAATGAAATGAAATACATAAACATGTGTATATATATTTTTAAAAATCCCAAGTATACGAAATATGTGTAGAGTAAATCTGACAGCTTATAAGAGCCGCTAAAATTATAAAAAAGAAAAAAACAAAAAAAAAAATAATTAAAAACCTTAAAAAAATGAAAAATCTTAAAAAAATGCTGCTTACGTTTGAAAATAAAAATTAAAAAAATAATAAAAAAAAAGCGAAGCATGTCAAATATATACCATATGTACTTACTTATATACAGGAATAATTACTCAAGTGTGCTGTTCAAATTGCGCAAAATTTGTAATTCAAAGATGTTAGTGCTATTTTAGATACAAAATGAAGAAAATTATTAAAAAAATTATTTGAAGTTTAGATAAAAGGAAAATAAAATAATATATAATATTAAAAAAAAATGGTATAAATAGTTTAAAAAACGCTAACGCTGAGTGTGTTATTTTTTATAGTTATTTAAGCAAGTGGATGCTTAAGCGTTGCGTGTAAACTGTTAATTTGATTTTTTTTTGGTTATGTTTGAATATTTTTTTTTTATTATTATCTTTAATTGATCTGTTGATTAAAATTATTTTTTAATATTTTTTGAAGGTATTTTCTTGATTTTTATGAAAATTTTTTTGTTTGAAAATTTTTTAACTGATTTTTAATTTGAAATACTTTTTTTTTGAAATTTTTGAAATTGTTTTTTATGAGCACTTTTTTACTTTTACAATAATTCTGTTGACTAAAATTGTGTTTGTAAATTTTATTATTATTTTTATTTATATTTTTAAATTTTTTAATTGTTTTTAAGAACATTTTTTATTAGATTTTCAGTTTCATACATTTTTTTGATAGTTTTTTATTTATAAAATTTTTTTTGATTTTATTTTTGAAATATTTTTTTAAATATTTTTTTTTTAATTTCTGCTTTCTATTTCGAAATATAACTCGAAAGTGTTTAAAAAAAATTTTTTTTATAAAAGATTAAATTTGTTTTTAACATCTTGCGAGCGCCTGCTTATTGTGGCTTTGATTTATTCGTAAAAAAAAATTATAAAAATTCCATAAAAAGAGCTAGAAAATGTCAAGTAGTGAGATAGGCTTAAGCAATTAGAATTTATACAGCTATTTTGGAGCGAAGCAATTACATATAAATAAGCAAAAAAAATTAAAATAAAACGAATGGCCTAATTAGGATGTAGAAGATATAGTAATGAATGTATTCTGATTATTCGTAGAGCTCGTGCAGCATATACATACATACATATATATAAGTATATATGTATGCATAAAAATTAAATACAAATAGCTGATAAATGTATTTATAACTGTATAAATGTGCTACTTTGGGATATAGTATAGCATAAAAGTAATCATATGTGTATTATATTATCTACATATATAGTATATACATACAAGACAAGTATAGAGGTAAGTGGCGTAGACTTTTTACGCAGGTTAAACGTGTGTAAAAATTAATTTAGTAAGCTTAAGGTCGGAAAAACAGTTCCAAATTTGTCGGCATTGCCGAAAAAATGTTTAATTAAATGAAAAACGGATAAGTAAGGTATGTATGTAACGTAATACAGGTAGCATATATATGTATATGTACAATATATTAAAAAAAAAATATGTGCAGTAGCAACGTTTTTAAATATAGTTGCAAAATCACATGCAAAATAAGTATTGCAATGATAAATGCAAGCTAAATCAATTATAAATAAATTGTGTGGCAACAATGTGAAGAAAAAAATCAATCAGGTAGAACCAATTGCGCATAGACATTGTATTCCAGATAAATATACATAAAATGTATAAAAAAAAGATATAAAAGCTGCTTTATAAAATATTGCTTAAATAAAATGAAAATGTATAGAAAAGATATTTTAATTATTTTTTTTTTTTTGGAATGCATATACATACACATATGTATATAATTTAGTTTTCTGAAAACTTTAATTGTTTTTTGTTATTTTTAATATGTCGACTTACCATGTTTTACACATGTTTTTTTGTATACTGAATTGAAAAAATGACATCCGTCTTAAATACATAAAATTAAATTTTATTCAATTTAAATTTTCTCGCTCAAAATTTTATTTACGAAAAAATATCATTTGTACAATAATTTTCTTTAGATAAAATATAAAATTAAGTAAAATTTTAATTTAATTAAAACAGTTGCTTTTCCTGCTAAAAAAAATATTTTATTAGCTTTTTTATAAACATTTCAATTTTCTTGTTTTTCGTTATTTTTATAAACCGTTTGTAGTTTTCTTTGCATATGAATTTGACAATTTGCAATTACTACTTTTAACTTTAAAAAAATGCTTCCATCAGCTCTTAAGCATTTAATTTATGCTTTTCAAAATTTAAAAAAAAATATAATTTTTCTTTAAAGCAAAATAAAATTAGAAAGCATTATAATTTTGACGAAAACAGTTACTTTTCAGAGACTAAAATAAATTTTTTGTCAACTTTTTCTTAAACATTAAAATTTTTAAAATTCAGTTCAAAATTTCGTTTTTTCATAAACCCGTTTGTATTTTTCTTTGACAAAAAAATAAACTTAGAAAAAAAATAAATTTTGACAAAATACAAATCTGTTCTTAGTCTAACAAAGTTTCTTTCTTTAGCTTTTCCATAAGCGTTCTTGTTCAAAATTTTCTTTTATGAAAAAATAATAATTTGTACTTTTATTTGAATAAAAAAAAAATTAAAATAGAAATAATTGTAGTTTGCACAAAAACAGTTCCTTTCTTAGTGTAGGTTTTTTTATAAGAATTTAAATTTTCTTGCTCAAAATTTTGTTTATCAAAAACAATCATTTGTATGAAAAATAAAATTAGAAAAAATTATAATTTTGACAAAAAGAACTACTTTCCTTGGTCTCAAAAAACAAAAACACCAAAAAAAATTCAAATTTCAGTAAAATTTAAAAAGTAATAATTATAAAATGTAATATTGACTTAATATTTATTTTTTATGCATATAATTTTTTTTATAAAAAATAATCATTTTCAATTTTTTTGTAGAAAATGTTTTTTATAATCCAAAGTAATTGTTTAATAACACTAATTTGATGATCTTACTGTCGAATTGGCTCAAAAAATCTGTCTTAAAAACATACATATATTTTTTCGTAGATTTGACAATTTTAATATTTTTTTCGTTGCCTTCACATACCATTTATGATTTTATTCTTAAGAAATGCCTTATATTTTATTTACAATATTAACATCAATTACTTTCAATTAACATATAAACACAAGTAAAAGAAATTATTAGTTTTTTTTTGTTTTTGTAGATTTCATATTCAATATATAAAATATTTTGGCTTCATGGCAAACGTTTATAAATTCTGGGTTCAAAACAAAAAAAAAACCACAAATGAAATTTTTTTTTGAATTCTTCAAACCTTAGTTATTTTAATTCTATATAAAGTAAATTTCTTTGAAACACGAAGAAGAAAGTAATACATATAGTTGCTAAACTAGGCAAAAATTGCAACTAAACCAACAAAAACCAATGTCGATTACGAGTGCAAACAAATATACGATGGATATACAGATATACATACATACATATATGTAGTTGCGCAAAGTGCTCAGTGACACTTCTATGGCTTGCAGATTTGCGTGTATATAGCAGAATAAAAACAAAAAATAAATAAACAAAATATAAAGCAAACACGAATTTACAAAAATATGACACAATTATAAATTTATATAAATGTATGTAGTATGTTTAACAAATTTTGTTTCAATTGACAATTTTTTTTTAATGAAAATAGAAATATATAAAAGTAAATAAATTTTTTTTGCAATAAAAGAAAAAATTATAGAAAAATTAAAATTTTTTTTAATGAAAAAAATAGAATACATATATACACATATATGTATATATTTTAAATTATTATTTTTTTTTTAAATCATAACACAAATATATAATATTTAAATTAAATTTTATTTTTGAAAAAAACAAAAAGAAATTGCGTTAAAAAATCTTAAATTTTTTTTCAAAAGTAGCCTCTATAAAAAAATTCTGTATACTATACCAATGATAATAAGCCAAGAAACAAATAAATAAGATATTGTATTGAATACAAGATATAGTAAATGCAGCAAAAGAAATGTTATAATTATTAAATATATGATTAGTAAGCGATATAAATTCATAAGATGAACAAAATAATACAAATAAAGTAATAAATAATATGTTTTAAGGCGCAGAAAAAGTGTACAAAAAATTGTCATAAAATCAAAAAAAAAAATGTGTGTTCTTTTTTTTGCAATAATTTATGGAAACAACATACAAATATGCATATGCATACAAGTATTTACATATTGGAACAACGCGTACTACATAAAAAAGGTAGGTAAACTTATGAGAAATACTATATTATATTTTTAAACTTAAACACAGCAATAAAAGTTGCCTAACTGGAAGAGTGTATAAAATACAATACAAATCAAATTAATCAAATTAATCCACTTTGAAGTCAAGCAGAAAAGTTTGCCAAGCGCTGAAATCGACTTCTGGATGTGCGACACTTTGCTCCGCCACTTTGATTTGCAAAGCATGTAAATATTTCAAATCGGTACGATACTTTATACGCAAATCCTGATCAATACAAATATCCATGAGCTTCAAATCGATAAGCGGCTTCGCCACACGCACAGTCTTACGCAGCTTACCCTCCAATACATTTATTTCATTCTCCATGCGCGCCAAATTCAAGAGTCCCCCATAAGCTATGGGCGTATGATGCACCGAATGTGCGGTGATCTTCAAACTGCTTACGTTACGTTTATTCAATATGATTTGCATGAATTCTTTTGAAGCATGCCATTTGCAGTAGGCTTTTAGCGCTTCCAATAGTAGTGAGAGATGTTGCTCGCAAGAGATTTCATCTACAACATCACCAGCCTCTTCCATGGCAGCTTGTAGTTCGGCTTGTTTCTTATGTTTCAGCCAACGTTTCTTACGTATGTAGTTGAACACTTTTTCGGGCGAAAATTCCTCGGCATACAAAAAGCCAAACATTTGCAAAAATTGATCGATAAAAGTGTAGCGCACATATGGTATACGTAGCACATCAATGGCGTTGATGTAGTTGCCAATGGAGGAGTTTAAATTGCGATCTATAAATAAAAAAAAAAGTTGGTATATATAAATTCATTACAGATTTAAAAACAAGAAGAAAGGTTAACTTCGTTTGCACCGAAGCAATAATACCCTTCACAGGTGCATTTGTGATAGCTTAAAAGTATATAAAAAAAAACCTTTCAATCTGATTTATATTGTTCAGTTTGCATGGCAGCTATATGCTATGGTTTATTCCGACCGTTCAGCCATATAGCTATATGCTATGTGCAGCTTCTTTGGGAGAAAAGAGCAAACTTCGAAGCCAACTTAATATACTCTGTTAAGGGTATAAAAAAAAATAATTACCTTTGAATTTTCGAAAGAAATCGTATATAGCTTGCTTGGTGTTTGGGCCGAGACGCGGATATTTGACGCCCAAAACAGTGTGTTCGATGTCAGCCGTATTGCTAATGACCATGAGCAGTGATATATAGCGCTGTAGCAAAAATACATAAAAATTTAAATATAAGTCATTCAAACACACACACACGACCCTAATAACGCACCTCGAGTATTTTTAAATAGTCTATATTGAGACCTTTATTTACACCCAATGCGAAAAGCAGAAACAACTGTCGTCCCAAATCGCTCAAATGCGCTTCCTCTGCGATGCCAAGCACAAATACCGCCAACGGTCGGCTATCATTGTAGAATAACCAATTTTTATCCTTACTATAATGATGCAACATCCACATGACGAAATCATTTTCGAGTATTTGCAAAATTAAACGTAAAACAATGAATAAACGCTCCAAACGCACTGTTGCCTTAAGCGCTGTAAATGTATTCAAGTGTGTGTCGCGTTCTTCCCATTTGCGATGATCATAGGGTACACTCTCCGGTGTTTCCGACACAGCTGATCCTTCAGTTCCTTTATTTTTCACTGGTGTGCTGGGTTCGGCAGACTTTGACAGTTCTTCGCTGTTGCATTCATTGAATATGATTTCAGTTAAATCGAGTATTATGTCGAAAACTTTTTTCGATTTGGACAAACGTTTGTCGCTGCCTTTCGATTTGTTGCTCAATTTTTCGGCATCCAATGGACGTTGAAAGAAGCCAATATAAGCGGGATGCGTTGCGCGCCAACAAGGTGGAAATGTGCGCACCATATAGCTGAAAAGCTCTATGCATTTGTGGTATGTGTGTATGCATGTCGCGTCACCACTTTTCGGATTGAGACTCTGTAAAAGTAGGATAAAACAGTTTTATAATAAATTTTAGCCAAAATATAAGTTTTATTACAAAACGCACCAAAATTAATTCGATTAAGTTGGTAAAGGTGTCTTCACCAGGAAATTCATGCCGTTGACACATATCCAAAGCAAGATTCAGAAATGACAGATAGCGTTGTTGCTTTAATGTACAGCGCAGCTGCATTAAACGCGCTTCACTTGGTTTGACCATTTCACTGAAACGTTGTTGGTAATGTTGCTTGCGACAGTATACCAAATCCTCAGCGCAGCGTGGCGGAAACTCTAAGCACAGTCGTTGCACTGAATTCAGATATAAATTAGAGAATAGCGTGGTTAGTTTATCGATGGAGTCTGTCCTGTGTGCAGTTTTGCTTTCTTTGTTTGTTGTTTCAGTGGGCGTTTGTGCCTCTGCAGCCTCATTTTGAGTTTTCTCATTACTGTTTGGCACATTTTTACTTGGTTTGGAATTTACTTCTGCTGCAGGTGACTGGCCAACAGCTGCATCACATTTATCTGCTTCCATGTTTTCATTGCCTTTATCCACCACCATAGCTTCCTTAGCGGTTATCACTGCGGCATCAAATTTTACACTAACTTCCGCTTCTTTCTGCCCATTGGTTTCTATTCGGACTACTTTTTCATGTATTTCGTCACCACCCTTCGTATTTTCCTTACTCTCATCAGTAGTTTTACGCCTCCTAGCAGTGAGTTCTGGCTCGACAGCCTCCATTGTATTTATTGTACTGCTCCCACTTCTGGTACGTCTGCTGGTCACAGTTTTGGTTTGGGTAATTCGCTCAGCTGGTGTGTTTACGGCTCCTTCTATATTGATATTTGAGTTGGACGAGCGTAATGTTCTACGGTTTTGGTTTATTTTTTCACTATTTATAGGCGACTTTAACGAATTCTCTTTACTTTTTGTCGTAATTGATGATATTATAACTTTTTTGCTTTTGCGCGGCATTGTTAGGAAATATATGTAAACAAAACCAGCGCTGCCAGCTGATGCGCTATGAAGATAACAAATCGCGTTTTGTTTATTCCTTGACAATTAGAGCTTAAAATAGCTTTTCGAATTAGTTTTTGTTTTTACAATTCGCACCTCTATACGGTATTTAATTTGTTATAATGACTGTACGTTGACAATTAACTTTCATTTTTAAACAAATTAACAACGGTTTGGGTATGTTCAGTGTAACAAATAAATATTATTAATACATGTAATTAGGTAACACTCCTTTTCCTTATATGTGGTTAACACAAAGTGTTTATAATTTATCCAGCGTACAACTTTATTGCGCAGTGGTTATTTTAGGGGTTAGGTCAATACAATTTTAAATATTTTTTTTTTGCAAGTAAATTTTATCATTTAAAAAAATTAAAAACAGAGAATCATTATATAAGGGTTTGACTTGAATTAACAGAAATTAATAAAAAAATGATTTGTGATGACTGTTTATGTTGATCCAGTTCCAACAGATGTTCCTTGCGGTGACCATAACTAATCTTTGAAAATTCATCTAAAATCAATTTAAAAAAAATGGTTTTATTAATACATTATCTAGCGGCTAATTAAAGCCTTTTTTAAAGTAACAAAATGGCTACTTTAGGAACTTTTTTTGGGACTTTCGGGAAAAAAATCAGGTAGTTTTTCATGTTTTCAAAAAGTTGTCTAAATTTCATTGAAATCTTTCGATCGTGGTCTCGGGTTCAAAAAATTTAGTTTTGAGAAAAACGCATTTGAAGCTGCAGCGCCAAAATGGTTTCCGTAAAGTACACGGCACCACCGCAGCACTTAGCTTTATAAACGCTCAGATAATCCGTAGTCGCAATCAAAAATAATTTTGCGAGAAAAGTTTTTGACACTAAACCATGAATTATCCGAGCGTCTTTTAATCAACAGTACTATTTCGAAACCAGACGAAAGAATACAGACTAGAGTTCAACAATATCGTCGATGGCGTTAAAATTTAGACAGTAAACAACCCCAAAATTTTGGGTCTTCGGGGTGATAGTCTGTGCTCGATCGAACACGTACTTACTAAGGGCCACATTCTTGCGGTTGAGGGACATAGTGCACTTCTCTCCAAGCAGTTTTTATTGCGATGTTTTCGCGCAAATCATCTTGACAGTCATCTGTTTGGAGCGGAACCGACTTCTAGGAACATCAATACAATACGTTGACCAGCTACAATAATATACCGACGAAATTTCGGACGCAAAAAACTTCAGACGCTTACTGCGCGCCATTCACAGTTAAGTTCTTAAAACTTTCGTTAATTCCCTCCCAGTCAATGGTGCACTTGAAGTCGGCACACCACGACCGTAAACTTGAGTGGGAGCTTAGTCTACTACAATTTCCAGAACGAGATTTTGAGCAAGGGTCACTCCGATTGAACGTAGAAGTCGCGAACAGTATCAAGTATTATATATATATATATACATATAATTCGTATATTATATTTGGTGCGCTATATATATTCGGCAAGAGCAGACGTTTTTATTTATTGCTGAAGAAACAAATCCAACAGGAGAATCGGAAATTGGAGAGGTGGAATTTCACTAACAGCGTTTCTAGACAGCGAAACTGTTTGTGTTCGTTGTTCTCTTCGTTCTTGTTAACTACTTCCTACAAAATAATGACTGGGACAAGTAAGGTTATGATATGCCCTTCTTCTTATTTCACTATAACATTTTCTAAATTTTCTTTGTATTAATACCAAATCAACTTTCTTAAAAGCTAAGCTCACACACTGGACCCACAGTCGGTAATATTAAATTCTATAGCAAATTTTCAGTTTGTGCAGTGAACAAAAATACTTGTTGCTCAACAATGGACAAAGATTGCTTTACAATTCTATATTGTTGGTAATTCTTTTTTTGTTCGTTTCTTGCGAAATAGTCATACGTACGCGGAACTGACAAAAAACTGTAACAAGATTATAAATTAAAACGACAATTTTGGTGCTCATTAAAGGTACTCCGCATGCGGATTCAAGCGAATTGCCAGACACTACCGACATATAGCTACAGTGGCATGTACATATGTACATTTGTGGCAGCAATCAGCTAAGAAAAGCAATCAACTGTCATTGGGTAACTGTAGCAGCTAGCACCTGTAACAGCGATTGTAACTGCGTTTGCCTGCCTAACTGTGCTATTGCCTAAAATTAGAACATGCAGCTTTAGAGCACCACTTCACACCATAAATGGCTGCTTGGTGTTGTTGTTGCTGCTGTTGTTTTTTGTGGAAAATGTCATAAATTGAATAATGTCTCAATTAAAACCTTATTTCGAGCCATTTAACTGTATTTAAGATTTATCCGTTAGGCATTTTAATTGTTATGTGCAAACATTTATGGTAGTTGGATCAATTTAGCAGAGAACATATTGAGTGTGTTGTACAGTGTTCCGAAGAATGATTGCAACTGAATCTGAATACAGTGCGCTTAATGCATTGACTATAATTTGGATAAAGACTTTATATAGGATTGCGAAGTAATGCCTTTAACTGTTAAATGATGACCCAGTGAGGTTCCAAGGCTTCTACGAAATCATGGCGTAAGATTTGTGCATCTAAAAAATATCGATAACTCGGAATTGCTAATCAAGAATAAACTTCTATAAAATATGCTCTTACAAAGAAACGAATCTTGCGAAATAACCTTAAAATCTGACCACTGGACTTGGATAGAGTAAAATAAGAGTTTTTAGTGACAACGGTAAAAAAAAAAAGTTCTAGAATGTTGCCAGATATTGGTATTTAAAAAAAAAAACTTACTTATTTCTTGATACTGGCGGTTGACTTTAATTTCTACGATAAACATTTTACATCAAAAATAATTTATTTTGATAGTAGCTAGCAGTCTCGCACCGTTAGATGATATCAAACTTTTCGATGAATTTTGGCATACAAATTCATCAGCTGTGCGGAGACTTTGTAGTATTTACGATTAAGTTGATGATATCCTAAATTTGCCAATTGTTTGAGAGCGACAAATCGAACAAACAGCTGATATTAATCAAATATATTGGCATAATGAAATAGGCATAAAATAGCAAGCAAGTTACGCCATTCTTCATCGCACTGATTTCAACTGGACTACGTTGTTGTTGTTGGTTAAAAATGTAAATTACTTCGTTAGAGAGCCGCGATTAAACATAGTGAACTGAGCAAAATAGTATCGAAGACAGTTAATATAAGATCTAGTAAAAAAACACATTATTTTTGCATCAAATTGAAATTATATTCTCTATTGGCAGAAAACTGGAACAGTCGATAAGCTTCTAGCCAGAAGCAGGTACTTATTACTTAGTGCTAAGTTCGAAATTAGAATAATAACCTCCTAACCAAGCTCTCGAAGCTTCTGATGGGCACTATCTATGTGTATAGCCTGGCATTGTCCTAAGGGAACACTATTACTCTGCCAGCTTCAAAGCTGGCCACTTCGCGGCAATTACTTCTTTCAGACGGTCCAATTTTTTTTGTTAAGAGCTGAGAAAGCATACATTTGCTTTATAGTCTTACAGAGGTAAGTGTTGAGCTAGATCGGCTTTTGGTTGATCTTGAATTCATAACATAATAAGTTTTATACTAAGGACTATATAGAACCATCAAAACTAACTTTCTCTCCGCCTTAAGGGGTATTTCAATATTGTAGACACATGAGAGTTTGCTAAATATTGCAAAGCGCGCACTTCTTTGTTAATAATTAACCGAAGAGATATATAAGCGCGGACGAGCTAATAGTGACAGGTCTGCATGGAGACTGCGGGAGTTTTTATCAAACATTTTACCACAGTGAGACGAACTAGCTGCAGTGTGCATAATAACTGCAAATCTTGTAACTTTACATTTCTGACACCAAAATTAGCTATACACACATATGTATGCACATACATATGTTTTCCAAAATAAACGGTATAGCAAATTTTCGGCTCCACGCTTTAAATTGAATTGCTTAAATTGTCAGACACATAACTTACCTGAGCACTAAAAGGCTAGTGTAAGCAGCAGCCGAACTGAACTGCCGTTATTTATGGCACTAAATCGATTAAAATTCATTTAGCTGACCAAATTTCTATTTATTTTAAATAAAATAAGAAGCAGCAGCGGAGCACACAACCCAGCCGACTAAATGGTCGGACTATTAGCCAGCAGTGGAATCCGTCTCGGTGGCACGCTCTCGCTTAAATTTGTACGCCGTAAGCAGGCAAACGATGCCAATTTCGTTTTTTTTAATAGAAAATACAGTTACACCGTAGCAGCAAAGCAAATATGCGCCGTATTATGTTATGTAAGTATAAATATTAGAAAAATGCTTTTACTTGCCGCAAATGAAGGCGTACATATGTATGTGTGTGTTTGTGTATATATGTGAGTATATAACAGCATCGTAAGCGTTGACTAAGTGTGGCAGCAACTATTCTAATAAATCCAACTGCCGGCCAACAGACAGTTCGCCGTTATTTTAGTATATTTGTTTTTGTTGTCTTGACTTTTTAATCTTCCATCTGTCAAAAGCGAACGATGTGTTACACAGGCAGTCACTACTGTTGGGCACCGCTAATCCTGTTACTAACGGTTGCGAGTGAAAGGCATTCATACGGCCTGCTGACCCACACACACACACATACATACACACACGCAACTAAAGACAAATATGCTGGCTGCTTCAACTGTAGAAAATTTTTTCAAATAAATAAAATTAACTTTAACTGGAGCAAAGTTTGTGACTACGCCTACCCAGCGCTGGTGCATTTACCGGGAATATGATTCTTCGGTTTTTTTTGTTTCATGGCGCTTGACGAATGCGCACGAGCTAATAGCAAAGAGAAGAAGAAAAAGGTATAGCGCTTTTATAAACGTCTGACACTTCACAAATGGTCAGCCAATTCAATCGGCGCGGACAGTTAGTTGCGCATTTGAATTGAGATACGAGGGCGGCGCGATATATACTGCACCTCCTGATTCCTCTGAAATTTCTACCCAACGAAACCAAAACAAGCCTAATAATTTGTCATAGCAGTTCCCTGGTCAGCCTTCTGGAGCTAGTTGGTATAAATCATCGCATCCACGCGCATTAAAAACAAAACTACGTGTCTGATTCGACTAAAATTTTGACAGTGGTTGTCAACGAGAATGTACTCCATGGAAGTTCGGCTATTTGTCGGACCGCGCTCGTATGGATATAGACGTATGAAGTCCACTCCTGGAT